TCATTTTACTGGTTCTTGAAAAATGCGACTTCTTTTAGGATTCATCTGTTGAATATACTCAAGTGGTGAAGGGTATCATATAGTCGGCCCCGTCCGACTTTACTACTTTCCTTACTGGTCTTTTTCATTGCTTTTTCATAGTAGGAATGTTTTCCGAGTGTGGGCAACTAACCCGACGCCTCTATCCATTTTTATAGTTCTTATGGGTGAACTCGCGGCATATATCATCTCACTATTTCAAGGGGCGATGAAAATAGCTACCCCATGTGACACCGCGGGGAGATGAAAGAGGGACCAAGATAGCCCTGGGCTTCACCATGTTAAAGCCAATCAGAGCTGTTGCTTGGTATCTATCGTCCCCTACGCCACTCCCATATATATCTTCATCTGTTTTATCTTTGTACTGCCAAATTATAAACATCGAACACCAGTTTTCAAAATATGTTGATCGCCATTGAATGAATCATATTTTTCTTTTGATTATCAATCCATTATTTTTCTTAATTAATTAAACAAATCGATTTTGTGAATCTATGATTTTTAATGTTGGTGGCTATTAAATGTCACAACTATTGTTGTAGACAATGTTTTTTTGCAACGAAATATACACTCATTTCTAAATTTGGCGCAAATACATGTCATGGCAACTTTATTTATTTGGCCAACATGATTTAACCATATACGTTGACAACAAATCGTGTAATGACTTGACTAATTGTGTTGCATACACTGGAGAATGCAATCGCAGATATGTTGCAGAGTTATGGACAAATAAAGTTATCAGAATGTTTTTTTGTAGAGTTATTTAATAGTTGTTGAGTCAAAAATATTTGGATTATTTTCATTAGTATTTTATTGCATTATTTGTTGTTTTGTTTTATTTGTTAATTATTTCTATGTTTATTTTTCTGTCTTAACCACCTAGATCTCAATGTATTTAATCGACAATCGTTGCATACGTCAGCATTTGATGTTTATGCCGAATGCTGTGCATGAATATTGGCGTTATTTCACATATATGCTTCTACATTCGGATATACTGCATCTGATGATGAATATTTGTTTACAGGTAAGTCCACATTGAATTGAAATGTTAATATTTTCTTTGTTAATTAGGTCATGGTAATCAAATACTTACAAACATTATGAATGTAATGTAGATCTTATGTTTTATTTCATAGAAATATAACGCATTAAATTTGATGTGAAAAGCATTGATAGGTCTGTTGATCTAGAGGGTCACACGTGTACCTTTGGAACTCTACTTCGAGATAATGGAAACCTCTCTCGACTAAATCATCCAAGCAGATATATTATCGGCTTATCGGTTCATTTGGTTATGTCGGTTTGATCTTCGTATGATCATGAAGATGCTTTCTACCTTCGGGTTTTGACTTCTTGTTTCGGCATTACACTAGAGTTGGGTAGTTCCGGAACGTACTAGTTCATTGGAACTATTCCCAGAAAGGAACGATCGGAATTAGTTACAGCTCCAGAGCAAAGGAACTATAAAGAGCAAAGGATCTATATGGATCAAAGGAACTATATGGAGCAAAGGAACTATTTGGAGCAAAGGAACTATAAAGAGCAAAGGAACTGTATGGAGTAAAGGAACTATATGGAGCAAAAGAACTATATATGGAAAAAATGAAAAAAATAACGATGAAAGAGAGTGATTCAAAGGGACTATGCAGGCGTCGGAACTATATGGAGCAAAATAACTATTTGGAGCAAAGGAACTGTATGGAGCAAAAGAACTACATTAAGGAACTAGTTCCTTTTTTAAAAAGGAACGACAAAGATCGATTCGCTAAGTGAACTAGTTTGCCCAACTCTACATTACATGTATCAAACACGGGCGGAAGTTGGTCTTCTCTATGTTCTGGAAAATATTGGCCCACAACTATTCGATTGCACAGCATGTTCTGGTTGGGGCATCTACCAATAGATGTGGACAGGGATGGTCCGTGTGACAAATTTTTAGTTTTTCAATTGTCAAAAATTGTCAAAAAGGTGTAAACGTCGATTTATACATATATGCCTAGCCGTCCGTTCGTCTGTCTGTCTGTCCATCTTAAATTGTAAATAAAGTGCATGTGGCATTTATAATCCGATTTGGATAACATTTCATATCATTTATTTGGCCCAAGGAGGAACCCTATTGAAATTGGGAAAAATTAGTTCAAATTTAGATATAGCTTCTATATATATTTTCGTTCGATTTTAAGTAAATGGTGCACCAAAGTCTCTAAAAATCTTTCGATTTGCACGAAATTTGGCACAACGTACTGAATTAAGCCCAGAATGATGTGTGTTAAGTTTCGTGAAAATCGGTTTAGATTTAGATATAGCTCCCAGATATATTTAGGTCCGATTTACTGTAAATGGTGCACCAAAGAAACTGTCTATTTTTCGATTTGCACGAAATTTGCCACAGCGTACTGGATTGAGTCTAGAATGATGTGTGCTAAGTTTCGTGAAGATCCGTTCAGATTTGTATATAGCTCCCATATATATTTTTTTTACATAAATGGTGCACCAAAATCCTAATGTTTGTCCAATTAACACCAAATTTTGCACAACGTATCAAATTGAGACTTGAATGGCGTTATTGGGTTTTGTTGAAATTGATGCAGATGCAGCCGTAGCTTCCATATGTTTTTCGAACGGGTGTCTGATTGAGATTAAATTTTTAACAGTGCGCTTACCGAATAACGTGTATCAATTTTGCTATAAATCCTTTTCCATAAATTTGTCCCATCATACGCAGACGACTGTAAATATGCCCGAATGAAATTAAATTTATCATAGGTTGCGGAAAGACATGAGTATGTTCCTTCGAGGGAACATTGACACACAATTGTAAGAATACATATGTACAATGCACCCAAGAGTTGAAGGGTGTCATATAGTCGGCCCAGTTCGACTTTACTACTTTCCTTACTCGTTTTTTTAAGACATGCCTGTCTTGCAGCAAATGAGCGATATGTTCCGGGTCAGACATCTATCAATAGGTGTGAATATGAAGTACAATCCTGTCGTTGTACTATGCATGAAACTGTTTCTAATCGATGGAATGAGTGGCGCTCAAATTATACCCCTCATCCATGGTTCCTTTTAAGAATATGCATGCGCAGCTCTTCCTGTATATCCGTATTAGTTTTGCAGGAATGCCGAACGCAGACATGGCTTTAAACACTTCTGAACGGATAGGGCTGTCGAATGCGGCTTCATAGTCGACGAATAGGTAGAATGTACAATGAAGTTTCGTATTAATTTTCGCTTCACATTTAGATTTTGTTCATAAGATTTCATGAAATTGTACCCTAAATACTAGGTGCTTGTTCGATTTAGAAGAAATCTTCACAAATCTGGGCACTTTGCTAACCGAATGGCGTATGTAGAATTGGCTTCAAATCGATACAGTTTTACATATGGCTCTCATGCATAGTTTTGCTTAATTTCATACAAATGGTGCAAGTCTTCCTAAGTGATGAAGGGGTGGTCATGAAGTCGGCTCCGACCGACTTTTGTACTTATCTTACTGATTACTACTGGCGGTAGAAGAGAAATCAGTCTGTACAATTCACCTCTGTTACATTCTTGTCAGGCTTCAGTAGCGACACCGCGCAGCCTACGTCCCAGATTTCAGGAACTATGTGGGCGGCTAAAGAAAAATTGAGGGCTGAGCTAAGTTCTTGAATCCGGGTTCATCCAGCAGCTTAGGTATTACCATAGAAATTCCGCCCGGGTCCAACGCTTGGGATCACTTAACGTTATTTATATCATCTGTAAAATATTCCTACGTAAACATTAGTAGTATCTCCTCAACTGGGCGCTCTATAAATTGCTATATGAAATAAAATAACGGCTTATGTCGTTAAAAGTGGCAGCCATCCTAACTTGCTTCCTTCCTACTTTCGAGAGTGAGTTAACCCTTAACTTTTTCCGCTACAAAGTTACATTGCTTCAGGTGTTCTTGCTATTTGTCCTTTCAGGTTCGCATACTAGCCTTTTGACCTTATGAATGAGTTCTATCAGAGGTCATATGATGAAATTCGTCACGTTCATTGACCAAATTCTCTTATGTACCCGAGTATTTGAAGGGATGGGCCTTGCCAATCAGATTTTCGATGGTTTTGGAAAGTATGACGTTCAGATGTTTTGAAGAAATTAGCAAATACAATTAATGGGAGGTGATCGGAACGGAGGTAAATGACCCGTTGCCAGTTTACAACAATTATAATACCTGGTGTCACTATGGGCACCATTCACAGCATAAAATGTTGAGATATCAAATTGGTCGCATTGTCTAGGACGGAAACTGTAACTCATGGTGGACATTGAAATACCCGCAGGCGTTTATTGCCTTCTAAATGTGGACTTATATCCTGTAAATAATTCTGAGTATAGATATTCATCTCAAAAAGCAAAAGCCTGCGCTTATCGGGGCGGATGTTAGGAATATTGCTGTTGAAAAGACTATTCCGATAACAATGATCGAGAAATCGTCGATGTGCTGGCACATGTATGTCGCAATCTAAATCCTATAGCTGTACTCCTGTATACGGTTTTAACCTCGAAAATGAGTCTATTTCCTACATCAATTTAATCTCAACGAATGCGTCAGGTATTGGAACACAGAACTAGTGGCCGCGGTGTTATTATCTATCCGACGGCCTGTCTGTTTAATTCATGATAAATATTTGTGATAGATTTTTGTAAATGGATTATATCGGTCAGTTTGCTAACCGCATTTTCACTCCGGTGTGTAGGTGACATTCTGGGTTCTTAAAGGGTAGAAAATATTATTTGCAGAAAATGTTCGATATACATAGCTCCAAATTTTGACATAATCCATCAGGTATTGTCGCAATATTGAAGATTTTATCTATCCTTCCCATAATATGGACATCCATTTATATTATGTTAATAATAAACACAAATACTATGTAATAAAAAATAACGTGTAAATTAATAATCAATAATTTCCTATATTTACAGTTTTTTATAGCCTTTTGTTTGGAAAGCGAACAAAGCCATTGGAAAGTAGCAACAATTTATATAAGTGGCGGAATTTCTGGTTCATTGGCCACACGTTATTTGCAGCCCGAATTGTCGCTGATGGGTGCTTCGGCCGGTGTATATGCTTTATTGATGAGCCATATTCCGCATCTTTTGAAGGTCAGTGAAGCGTAACCTTTTTTCGCAGCCGCAGCCCCGGTCGCACAGCCACCCAATAATGAACGATTTATTTTATAAAGACGCATATCGATAAACGCGTTCCCAAAGTAAACGTGTAAATCGGATGGTTATGATGATGATGACGGGTAAACGTTTATTTTTATGTGAGGCCGTTTTTTTGTCGTGCATTCATTGTTGCGAGTGGCAGGCAGTATTGATTGGGTGATGGCTGTTTAACACGAATAATAATAGTTTATTTTTATTTTTCTTGTTTTTATTTTTTTTCTTTTCTTGGCAGAATTTTCCTTTACTCGCCCATCGCTATTTGCGCATATTGGCATTAATGATTTTATTTCTGAGCGACATCTGTTTTACGACATTCCATATACTCATAAATCACAATACGAATCCACGCATTTGTGTCGAAGCTCATGTGGCAGGTGCTGTTATCGGTTTAATTTTTGGATTTTTCATTTACTCATCCCAAGCTAAGGCCTGCAGTAATGTGATGAAGCCGGAACTGGAGCCGGGGCAGCAATCGTGTCTTTTGGTTACATGCAACAGTTGAGTGCAATAATATCAACGTGTGCCGGGTTCAGTGTTGCCATTGTTTTTCTAAACCGACCAAAATGATGAAGGAATATAAAATAAGTTCGGCGGGACCGAACATTTGTAACATACTCATTAATTGAAGAATTTGAAATGGCGAATGTAAATAGTATTTGATCGTGTAGCCCCTTTGCGGATTTCAATGGACTGTATTGCAATTTTAACGAGTTCTTATTCCAGATAGTCGGAGACTTATTGTAATAAAATTTACAATTTAATTAAATATTTGTATTACACTACGACCCTAATACCGTATGATTCAACAAGTTGGAAAACCTTATATATTCTCAAAACTCGAATACATGTTGTGTATGTTGACATAGTCGGAAGATTTGTATCTGGAATAAATAAATGTTATATACAAAACTTTATGAATAGTGTATTTTTTTAATATTTTTATATCGTCCTGTTTAAGGACAAGTAAAAACGTCTTTATATCCTCCACCATAAAATACATGTACTTATTCGGGGCTTTAGAGATTTAACACCAAATAAGAGTCCGTTCCTCAAAATGCGAAATATTGATAATATTTGAAACGAAGATTTCTTACCTACTATGAATATAAAATATAATGTTACAGCCATATCGTTCCCAAACTTCCCAAAATAATGAAATTTTAGAGGTTCTGTTATATGGGGAATGTCATAAAGAATGGGGCAATATTTTTGATTGGAAGATTTGCTACCCAATATGAATTCAAAATACCAAATTAAAGCTTATTGGGGTAGCTTTATACCAAAACGTGGACCGATATATCCATTTACCACTACCATACATCCTAAGAGTACTAGCAAAATTCCAAAGCTCAATCATAAATATTGCGAGTTTTATCGTGATTTCAACATACGGACGGGTAGGCACAAATTGAAATAGAATTTTATTCTGATCTCAAAAAAATATAAAATCTTTGCAAACGGAAAATGGCCAATACGTTCATTATGAAAGAACAATTTTTTTATACCCTTCACCACACTGTGGTACAGGTACATTATGTCTTTGTGCATATGTTTGTTGCTGACAAAAGGAAACGAGATAGATAGATATAGGTCCTACATATATTTTCATTCGATTTACGGTAATTTGGGTACCAAAGAGCCTATATGGCTTTAGATTTGCACGAAATTTGGCACATCGTAATGAATTAGGCCTAGAATGATGTGTGTTAAGTTTCTGAAAATCGGTTCAGATTTATATGTAGCTCAACTATATATTTTCGTCGGATTTAAGGTAAATGATTTAGCAAAGTTCCTCTATATACATTTTTATTTGCACGAAATTTGGCATAGCGTATTGAATAAAGTCTAGAACAATGTGTGTTAAGGTTCGTGAAAATCGGTTCAGATAGACATACACATCCTATATATTCGTGCTATTTTAAATGCATCGTGCATCAAGTTTGCTTTAAAACGATTTACAAAATTTAGCAAAGGTTGCAGAATGACATGTGTAGGGATTTATGTTAGTCGGTTTAGATATAGAAAAAGATAACACATATTTCAGTTTGTTCAATTTCATGTCAATGTTTCTTCAAAAAGGCGACGACTGTTAAGATACATATGCAGAATATACACTAAGTGGTGAAGGGTATCATATAGTATCCCAGTCCGACTATAATATTTTTCTTACTGGTTCTTATATGTATCTTTGATTTAAAAACATGTCCCAACTCCAAAAAAAAAAAAAAAAAAAAACAAGTAAAAACAAGTGAAAAAGTGGTAAGTTCGGCCGGGCCGAACTTTGGATACCCTCCACCATAGTTATATTGACAGGTACTATAAATGAAAATATAGGAAACATACCAAAAAGTGGACCTATACCGACATTTCTAAAAACGGATTATGTAAACCATAATAAAAATTTTCGAAATTTTTAAAGTATAATTATACCCTCAGCCTTATGGCGAATGAGGGTGTATACACTTTAACACGATGAAAATGTGCCTCATCGTAATATTGGTACTAGACCCCATGTTTCTTTGGACCAAATCCGTCTCAGAAAATTTAGATTTCATCCGAACTTTGCCCATCTTATTATTTCTTCCAAGCTTAGTTTAAATTCGAAGATGGGGAATATCGGCCCACTCCTTCTGGAACCTCCAATCAGGGGCTAGGTCTAAATGCGGCTATATTTAACTACCGAACCTTACGTTCTAATTTTTTAACTCTCTATCCTTCGCAGTTGAAATGATTACAAAAGGGTCTTAGAACCAAAGCCAAAACGCGCAACAAATCCGATAACTATTTTAATATAAAAAAGGGGTTTATATGGGGACTACCCCAAAAATATACGACTACAAAATACCAAATTGCAGCAAATTCGGTAGAAAAACGCGCTCAAGAACCCCAAAATACCGAAAATTGGGGGGTACCCGTATATGGGGGATATCCGAAAAAATTGACCTATATTTATAATTTTTTGTGGAGAGATTTTGTGCCTATTAAGAACCCAATGTATTAAATTGCAGCGTATTCGGTTGAAAAAATGCGCTCAAGAACCCCAAAATACCGAAAATTGGGGGTACCCTTATATGGGGGCTATCCGAAAAAATGTACCTATATACATAATTTTTTGTAGAGGGATTTGGTATCTATTAATAACTCAAAATACTAAATTACAGCCAATTTGGTGGAAAAATATGATCAAAACCCCCAAAATACTGAAGAGTAGGAGGTACCGTTATATGGGGGCTACCAGAAAAAGTGGACCTATATTTATAATTTTTTGTGGAGACATTTAGTACCCAATAAGAACTCAATGTACCAATTTTCAGCGTATTCGGTTGAAAAACGAGATGAAGAACCCCAAAATACCGAAAATTGGGAGGTACTGTTATATGGGAGCTATACCTAAACGTGGACCGATATATCCCATCTTCGAACTTGACCTGCCTGCAGACAAAGACAACCCTATGCAAAATTTCAGCACCCTATCTCAATTCCTTCAGAAGATAGCGTGATTACAACAGACGGACGGACGGACGGACGGACAGACGGACGGACATGGCTAGATCGTCTTAGAATTTTACCCTGATCAAGAATATATATACTTTATAGGGTCGGAAATGAATATTTCAATGAGTTACAAACGGAATGACAAAATTAATATACCCTCCATACTATGGTGGAGGGTATAAAAACAAGCGACAAATTTTTGAAATAAAACATAGGGAACATACATATAACTACAATTCTTCCAACCGATTGTTGTAAACCAAATAGAAAATTCAGCAATTTCAATGGGAGTTTTGGTGTTTCATTATATAAGGGGTTAGGCCTAATCAATGACCGATGTAGTTCAAGTTCCAAGCTAATATTTTAGTTTTGAATCCCAATACCGTCCATCACGCTAACTATTAAATAGGTAGGATGTTTTATATAGGACCTGGTCCTAAATGCGGGTCCATACAGTCCATTCTCAAACCTCACGTTTTAGTTTTTATGTCTATATCCTCCGAGAGAAAAATTATTAAAAAATACCCAAAATACCGAAAATTGGAGGGTACCTTATATGGGGGCTACCCGAAAAAAATGGACCTATATTTATATTTTTTAGTGGAGAGATTTGCTACGCGATAAGAACTCAAAGTACCTAATTTCAGCGAATTCGGTTGCAAAACCGGCTCAAGAACCCCAAAATACCGAAAATTTGGGGTATGAGGGCTACCCGAAAAAATGGACCTATATTTATAATTTTTTGTGGAGAGATTTGATACCCAATAAGAACTCAATGTACTAAATTACAGCCGATCCCGTGAAAAAATCCGGTCAAATCCCCCAAAACCTGAAAATTAGGAGGTACCGCTCTATGGGGGCTACCAGAAAAAGTGGACCTATATTTATAATTTTTAGTGGAGAAATTTGGTATCCAAAAAACCCATTTTACCAATTTCAGCGAATTCGGTTGAAAACGCTCTCAAGAACCCGGAAATACTGAAAATTTGGGGGTACCCTTATATGGGAGCTATGCCTAAACGCGGACCGATATAGCCCATCATCGAACTTGACCTGCCTGCATACAAAAGACGACTCTATGCAAAATTTTGGCATTCTATCTCAATTCGCATTCTATCTCAACAGACAGACGGACATGCTTAGATCGTCATAGAATTTTACGCTGATCAAGAATATATATACTTTATAGGTTCGGAGATGATTATTTCGATGCGTTACAAACGGAAAAACAAAACTAATATACCCTCCATACTATGGTGGAGGGTATAAAAAACGAAATTTGGAGCAAAGAAACTGTATTAAGTCTATTTGTAACACATCGAAATATATGTATCAATGTGTATGTCCTGCAGGAGTAAATATATAAGCTATAGAATACAAATTTTGTCATTTTTCACACAAAAGTCAGCGCTCATTTGACCCTCTAAATATTGACCGATCTTTATCAAAAGAGGCATGCTTATCCTTTAGTCCGATCTCCTTTTTCATGTAAAAATTCGCGATGTGTGGTTCCATTTAATCCCCTAAATACTAAACTATCGTTACCAAAGCCATCTTCATTGGCCAGAACCCATCCTACATGCAAAATTTCGTGAAGAATAGTTCGGCCGGGCAGTAACACCCACCATTCGGCGTGCCTTCAAAATTTGTTAAAGCTATTGTCAACTTTATATCTGTAACCGCTCTTGAAAAAATAATTTCCAAATTAGACCCTTAGATTGAAAAACTGGTATAGGATTCACCATACCGAGAATTGTATTTAAAAATTATTCCTTCAAACCTCAAAATACCGAAAATGGCCAGGACTTTTAAATACCAACCCTTCTAAGAACATTTTAAATGACGAAAATTGGGTGGTGCATCAAAAGGAGGATCGTTGTAATACCAGTGCAAAATTACAAAACTATGTGTGAAATATTCCAATCTATATCATGATTTCAACAGACAGACCGCCATGTAGTGGTGGATATAAAAATGAACGTACACACCTGTAATTTGGATATCTGA